GGTGGCGGTGCTGGTGGTGGTGGTGGTGGCGGCGGCGGCCGGCGCAGGGGCAGGGCATGACTGATGCGCCCTCTGCCTGCGCTTATGTGAGAGAAAGCGGCCGAGGGAGGGAGCGTGCCGAGCCCCGTCTGCCCTCCCTCCCCTCTCCCTCGGAAGCTCGCTCGCTCCCTCCAGCCCCACGCTTTCCTCCACCCACCTCCATCCTCTCCTTTGCTTTCCCTTTCTCGCCCCTTCTCCCTGGACTCGGCTGGGAGGGGGTGAGGGGAGGGGGGCGACCAGAGGCTCAAGTTAAGTCTGGGGACTGGAGCTCTATCCTCAGGACCAGTTTCAGAGGCCACATAATTGGCCTCAACTGCTCAAAAGGAGGGATTTTTTTTTTTTTTTGAGGGGAGGGAGGGTTGGGGTAGGGGGAGGACAGTACAGTGGGTAGGAGGAGAGGCATGCTTTGACCCTGGCAGTCCCTTAAGGTCAAGTCTTAACTCCGTGCATTCTTTGTCCTTAGAGCCCTCATGAAGTTTGGAATCAGCCTGAGAGTTCAAAACATCCTTGGAGAGAAAGTTATCTTTATGGCAGAGACCTTTGGGGCCATCGGATAAGAAGTGTCCTCCTCTCCACCCACCACCTCCACCGCTTTCTTTGTCATATCTCTTGAAGTAAGAGTGTGGGACATCTCAGAACACAGGGCAGTCTGTTGAGATAGATGCTAGGTTAGTGCTCTTCAGGAAGTTCTACACTTCCAGCAGATGGAGAGATGAGCCCCAGAATCTTCAAGGACACTGAAAGAGACACACCCCAAAAGTTTCTGCAAGACCTACCTTCGGTTTACAAGAGAAAGACAGCAAGGATGGGCAGTTTATATGCTGAAAGAGCGATCTGCTGTGATGCAGTTTGCCTTTGGAAAAACACCTAGGGACTTTGCTGTGTTAGGAGAGACATCAGCAGCTCTCCTCCTTGGGGCGGGTGGACAGATTGCAGAAGTTGCAGTTAAGCAGTTTCAACAGTGTGCAAAACATGAAGGATCGTATTTATTTAAAAAAACTGTATTACGTACATTAATAATGTACAAAATTCATAAAATTATAGATGGAGGAAAGACGTTCCCTTGTGATTCGAATCCTAGGATATGGAGGTCTCCTTACCCGACATTTAGACAAACACTTAAATAGCCTTGCAAACAGGGAACACTCCCCTTTATTGAACATTGTTGTCATTTCCTCCCGTCTATCCATTGCTTTTGACTTTGGCATTTTGCACACTTCATCTCACCTAAGTTCCACATGTGCGATCCTCGAATATTTTGGAAATTTCTGTTACATTCTCCCAGGGCTAACTTTTCCTACCAGTGAAAGATTTCAAAACCCGACAGCTCCAATTACCCTCATCCTTCATGCTAAGTTTATGTTCATAAAGTACGCTGTTCAGAACATGGCTCCATACTTAACATACTCCAGTGAAGCGTGCAAGAAAAGGGTCTTCCTTGTCCGGAGAGAAAGCATTTGTTGACATAGCCTTGGACCAAGTTTATTTTCTGGCAGCCAAAACCAACTCTTGAGGCAACGGACACTTAAAGTTGACCAGATTTCTCAAGAAATCTGCATGCATACTGCCATTTGGTCACGTCTGTGCTCTGCATGTGGGGGAGGGTTGCCCTCCTGCGCCCCTAATTTGGGCTTTGTTATTTAACATGAGGAAGCTCTACCTTGCCACAGTCAGCCCATTACAATGTGTTGAGATAACTTGGGATCTTGACATTGTCGATATGTATTCCCCCTCTTCCTGCGGTCCTGGTGTACGTGTATTTAAAGAATTTGTCATGTTTATCTTCACATCTTAATAAAGTTATAGGAAGAGAAAAGCTAAGGACAGGCTGGATTGTGACTCAAGTAGAAATGGAGTGTCCTTGTAATCTTGTCCCAGTGCAGTGATCCTCAACTTTTATTGCACTTGGAATCACAAAGGGTGGCTGTAAAAACAGATGCTTGGCACACCACCAGAATTTGCCAAATTCTGGGAAAAGGCTTGGATGTCAGAATGCCTCCAAGAGGCAACCCGCATTGAGAGCTTCACACATTTCCAACAGCCTCAGGGTGTAGCATGGTATGAATACCATAACATCGACAAACTCAACATGTATCAAAATGTATTAGTGACAGGATTTTTTTTTAAATCCTTAGCACATACTTTTTCCACTTAAATATAGTTATCTTCCTACTGCTATCTCGGTTTGATGCAAATAAAATTCTAGCAAAGGTGTTTAAATAAAAGAAATATTGGTAGTCTTTAAAAACAATAAATACAGTAGGGCTGGCAGTAGAGCCCAATGTTAGAATGTTTACCCATCATGCATGAAGCCTAGGGATTAAAAGCAGCAGCAACAGCAGCAGTAGTAATATTATTTAACAGCATCCATTTTTTAAAGAATACCTAAGTTTTAGAAAGTGAAACAAAAGTTTCCCAACTGAACACCTAAAAAATTTTATGAATCCTTCCCATATTTTGAAGTTTAAAAGATCTTTTTTTTACTTTTTTCTTGTTTTGAATTTTCTTTTTCTATCAGTGACTTCCTCCAAGGTCTTTTAAGATCCTGCGACTGTTATTTTAAATGTGCTTCCAAAGGAAGGTGTGGGGAGGAGTGGGGGGGACATTTCACTATTTGTTTTGTTTTCCAGAAAGTACTACTTTGTTAGTAGAAAGTGAGATGAGAGAACTGGGCAGCAGTTGGATAACACCTTCAGTTTGGTGGAGCTATTGGGTTTCCAATCCTTTTTTTTTTTTTTTCCGGATCGTGTTTGATAGCAAATAACAATATGTCTATGTCTGCATCTTATCAGAGTTTGCTAGCCTCCTCGGGGCCAGGTTCTGTCACCTGCCACCTTGAGAGTCCATCAGAGTCAAGTGGTAGTGATGTAAGAAAGGAATTGTCGGTGTGGCGACACTGGGAAGACTGTAGGCCCTGTTCTGGGGAATGGACAAGAATTTCCAAGCCTACACAGGAGACGAAGCAAAGCCTGGCACAAGAAGTCCAGTCGAGCAATTTTTAATCAAGCTGGTGTGTGCTCCTTATCATTTGGTTGATTTCCGCTTGGAGGGTCTGCTGACAAGGTGAAAATCGTTACTGCTTGAGAAGCCACTTCAGTTTGCACTGGTTCCTGTCTACTTAAGGCTGGGGGTCCCCTGATTTCCTCTGTGGGGTAATGGTTCCCATGTGGGGTCAGTGTTTGTCCCCCATCCCTGAGCACTGAGCAAACTGGACTGTAAGATTCACTGTTTGGGGATCTTGAAAGTATTGGTATTTTAATGCTTGAAAAGGGATGAGAGGTTAGATATATTTAAGACTGGTCAATATCATTGCCAGTTTTTAGACTGGCACATTTTTCTGTGTAGCTTTGGTGCCTGTCCTGGAACTCACTCTGTAGCCCAGGCTGGCCTCGAACTCACAGAGATCCGCCTGCCTCTGCCTCCTGAGTGCTGGGATTAAAGGCGTGCAACTCCACCGCCCGGCTCAGACTGGCACGTCTTAAGAACTTAACACTTCTCTATACAGTACTTCAGCAGGAATATGACCCAAGCAGAAGAGACAACTTCAGGCCCAAACGGTGCTTTCAGCAAATGCAGCCTTTATGTGTCTTAGATACACCGTGCATACTCAAATAAATGTCAGATTCTGCCCATTTCCTTTAGTTTAACCTGTATCTCATTTCAGTTACTTTCTTGCTTCCTTCATTTTGTTTTGTGGTTGTAATTTGAACTTTTCTGATTGACTGGACAAATCATTTGGTTCTCATAGCTCTAGTCTCTAAGGAACACAACTTCAAAATATAGCTTTTGCCCGGGTGATGATGGCGCACATCTTTAATTGCAGCACTCAGGAAGCAAAGGCAGGGGGATCTCTGAGTTTGCTTAAGTACTTTTGTAGTATAGTTACCCTTTCTGTTGCTGTGATGTAAAACCCCTTGACCAAGGCCACTTACAGAAGGAAGAACTTATTTTGGCTTACGACTTGAGAGGAATAAGAGCTTATCATGGCTGCAGTAACCAGAAGCTGTGAGATCACATCTTTAACAGAAGCATGAAGAAGAGAGAGCAAGCTGGAAGTAGAAAAAGGCACTGAACTCTCAAAGCCTACCCTTCACCATGGTGACACATTTCTTCCAGAAAGGCTGCTCCACCCAAGCCTCCCCAACAGCACCACCAACAGGGAAACAAGCTTCCATACCTGAGTCTATGGAAAACAATGTCATTCAAACCACCTCAGTCCACCCCTGCCCACAAAGGCTCATGGTCACTTAATAATTCAAATTACATTAATCTTACCTCAGAAGTCCCATAATTTTAATAGTTGTGACACAGTTTAAAAGTTCAAAGTGCCTACTGAGACTCAATGCAGTCTCTTTCCTGTAGCACCCTGTGAGTTACATACTTCCATCATACAAAGGCACAGAGTATCCAATACCATTCCAACAGGGAGTAATAAAGCAATAGTGAGGGAAACCTGGATCAGAGCAGAACTAAACCCTAGCAGGGCAGACTTCAAATCTTGCCATACCATGTCCAGTGTCAACAAGGGTTAGGTGGCTCCACCCCTCCAGCTTTACTACATGCAACAAGCATCTCTCTTGGTCTGGTTCCACTCCTGTATGCAGATGTCTCAAGGATCTGGTGTTTATAACATCTTTGGGTCTGAAAACCCAGGATTCATTTTTGTAATTTTGCATAATGACCTCTAAGGGTCCCCTTCATACCTGGAGTCTTTTGCCACGTGCTGCCTGGCCTCAGTGGCTCTCTGGAACCAAGGAGGAAGAATTCATGACCCATTCACTCACACATTCTTCATGTTTCTAATGTCAGCACCATGTAGACAACATTACCAACTTCAGCTGCCAGCTTGAGATGAAGCCCTGGCTCCCTCTGGATCACAGCTCCTGTGTGCTGACTCTGAGGAAACACTCCCCCAAAGATATCACCTCAATAATGCTGGGCTCTTATTAATCACAGCTGATTCTTCAGCCCCAGCTAACTAGCATCCATTGTCCAGTAAAGCAAAGGTTTTGCTTCCAAAGATCCTAAATCTAAAATATCAGACAAATGGCTCTAAGAGAGAATTTCCACCCCTCAAAAACTTTGCAATCCATCCCTCCATTGTTGACATGTTTCTTAATGTCCCTATCTTCCAAGCTCCTATAATAGTTCAGTAAGCTCTGCACATTCATAGCCCTTCTCTAGCCCCAAGCCCCAAAATTATTTCACAGTCTTCCAAAAAAGAACAACATGGTTGAATCCAGCACAGTAGTTACTCCACTCTTGTTTCCAAAATCTGTATTAGTAAGGGTTCTGTAAAGGACCAAAACTAACAGAATAAATACACACACACACACACACACACACACACACACACACACACACACACACACGCATATATATTATAGTTGGGATTTATTAGATTGGCTTACAGGATATGGTCTGAAGAGTCTGTAGCTGTCCCACACTGGAGAGGCCACAAGCTGCTCAGTTCACAAAACCCAATTCTGAAGGCCTGGAAGAGCCCCGGGGAGCTGCGGGTCTTCAGTCTATGCTGAACTCGTGAAGAAGTTGGTTCTAATATCTGTGAAGGAGTGTCCCAGGACTCCTAGCTGCAAGCGAGATGAGATGAACTTGCCAAGGAAAGTGAGGGTTAAGAATTAATAGAGCAAAGTTTTCTCCCTCCATGTCTTTTTATCTGGCCTCCACCAGAAAGTACTGCCCACACTTAGGGTGGGCCTTCTTGTTTCATAATCTGGTCAAGAAAATCCCTCACAGGAGTGTACAACAATTTCTGTTTTAGTTGACTCTAGATACAGTCAAGTTGACAAGCAAAATTAACCATCACAGTAGCTTAAATTATTTTTTTATATTTGTCTTCAAATAAAAACTGATTTGTGTTTTATAGTTTGCAAGTTGAATTTTTATTATTTTATAATTCTGCTCTAGGTAGTTACACTATAAATAATGTATATAGTAGTATTTTCTTTATACCTAAAAGATTGATTATCACAGCTAATTGTATGTGTGCTGTATTTGTTAGAAATGAATTTTGAGCTTCTTCAGTAATGTTAAAATCATACATTGGGGACAAATTTTAGAACTCTTCAATTATACTGGTCTTTATTTCTATATCAGACTGTAGATTTTATTATTTTGTTACTATTATATAATCTTCAGTTTGAAATACCATTTAAAGTCATAGGCTTGGAGAAATTAACACCAGGTTAATTATGAAAGAATAAAATTGTAACCATGTCAACATGATTTACTAATCTTTCCAGAAAACTCTAGTCTGATAAAGGCAAGATTGCAGGCAAACAATTTAAATTTGTCATTGGCTTCAAATTTACCATTGCCAACAAATTAACATATTAAAGGAAATAATATCCTCATTCTGACAGGCAGCCTGCTTATCAATAACAGTTGATACTTCTAAAACTTTTCTGGTGCCAGCCAATCCTAAAGAATTGTATAATTAGGTGTCTGCCCAATCCTCCTCAATTCCTCACTTCTAAAGATCTATCTCAAAACTTCTTGAGGTCTGACTCTGAGGCCCTTCCTTCTTTTCCTATGGTTCTCCATCATGACAGTAAATCCTATAGAAATGCAACTTTTGTTTACTGCGACAGCGCCTGCTGTTATTTGGGGAACTCAATAGCCAGGAGATCCTACTGAGTTCATAATATCTCCTTCATTGCTCAAACCAAAATCCCCAATTCAGAAATACATCAACCCCCTGATAGCCTTGAATGTTCTTGCTTGGAGATTTTTCTAGCTCCCTCTAGATTTCAGTAGCAATTACTTTTTACCAGGCTACCAAATGCATAGTGACTTGGTCTCCTAAGAGTCCCTTTCAGGGAAGCTTTGATTATTTGTTTGTATTTATCACACTTATCCCTTGTAGAAATCTGCTGCATTTTTAACAACATTGTCTCTGACACCACAGCTCTCTTTGTTGTTTTCCTTTGGGAGTGAATAACAGGAAGTTCATGAGAAAGAGATTAAGTGTAAACCTTGTTAAATCAATTCCCCCAAACCAGCCGTGGGGATCTGACGTGCAGACATTGTCTCAGACTGACATTTATTGGTCAGACTTTGTCAAAGGCTTTATCAAAAGTTGACAAGACTTTCAGAAGTATTGTCTTGCCTATGAGATGCTGATATTTGACTGTTTCTCACCAGGCTTTTTCCACTTCTCAGAGCTATGGGTTCACTGGTTTTGCCCTTGGATTCTGTAGTCATTTGTTGGAGAGCCCAGGGCATAAGGTTATCAAAAACATTTTTTTTTTTTACCAATAATTGCAACAAAATGGTATGAATACACAATTCTTTTTAGTCTCAAGTGTGTTTATAATTTTTTTAAAGGTAACAACAAAAGACATCCAACCTTCATAGCAAAACTAGAAGAATTAAAAATTGTATGAAATTTAAGATAAAAATTTTGGAATTCGTGAACCAAAGCAAACAAAAGGAAGGCCATCTGGAGACCTGGAAGAGGCTCTCTCACGTCTCTAGAAGCATTCAGCTGTAGACTTGGAAAAATCACTTGACTCTCACCTCCTGTTACCTCAATAGCTTGTAACTCAGAGAAACAGCAGATTTAAAATTCAAAGGAAAACTAGAATTCACTGGTAGGGATGCAGGGTGAGGGCGATAGGAAAAAGAAAGAGACAAGGGAGAGTGATGGGGAAGAAAGAGAAAATATGAATACATACATGTTAGTTATTAAAGAACAAAATTAATCAACTAAAAAAAAATGACTGAAAACTATAATTGAAATAGCCCTAATTGCAGACCTCTGAGAATTCTTGGTGAATGGACTAGTGGAAAAACAGCTAAGTGAAAAGATCAGTGTCGCTGCTTCAGGTGAGTTAAAACAATTTTCCTTTTCCCCTTGAACTCCCATGGAGACTCTCAGAATATTGAAAGAATGCCTGATAAGTTTTTGTCAATACTGGCGCTGAAAATCAGCCCAAATCCTCAACACTGTCACTCCTTCCAGAGAATGACTCTTCTCCCAGTAGTCCATCTGCTGTCCCCTTCATCCTGGACTTGCCCTCTTCAGACCCTTGGTAGGGAATCTTTTTTTGTGTCACTGTACAAGTTTCTCAGTAATTGTAACAACAACAACAACAGTGGTGTTTACACAAGGGCTGTTTTCTACCTACCACGAGAGCCCCTCAGCTTTAACCTTGCAAAAACATTTTAGACGACATGATCCACCAAAAGAGAACAAAATAATCCCTCTACTTTAACCAAGAGTGGCGTTAAGTTTTTTTTTTAATCATGAAAACGTATTATTAAAAAATTCACTTATTAACACTGTGGGGAGGGCACAGAGGCCACATCATGTGTGTGTGTGTGTGTGTGTGTGTGTGTGTGTGTGTGTGTGTGTGTGTGTGTGTGTGGTGATTAGAAGACAGTTTTGTGGAGATGGTTCTCCCCTCCAAACTGTCAATTCTGAGGACTGAACTTAGGTCCCAGGCTTATGTAGCAAGCACCTGCTGAGCCATTCCATTGGCCCTGAAACAAATTGTTATAACTTTGCTTTGCTTTTTATTTCTTTCATTTTTCCTTATTAAGAAATTTTCTACTCACTCTACATACCACCCACAGATTCCCCCCTCCTCCCTCCTCCTACATTCCAGCTCTCCTTCC